AGTACCTGTTGTGTAGTAAGAACCTATATATTTTTTGGGTGCCTAGGTGGCTCAGTTGGTTAAGCGTCGTCCAACTCTTGACTTTGGCTCAGCTCATGATTCTGGGGTCGTGGGATCAAGCCTCAGGCTGCTTGGGATTCCCTCTTTCCCTTTCCCTCTGCCCCTTTCATGCTCATGCTCTATCTTAAAATAAACACACTTAGAAAAAGAACATATATTTTTTAATGAAAGACAAATAGTTGTTTTTATAAAATTACAAAAAAATCCATGCAAATTTAACATGAATAGAGGTGCTTTCTTTAGGATAATAAAGAATAAAGGTATGAATTAAATTATTGGTGCGGGCGCCTGGGTGGTTCAGTTGGTTAAGCGTCTGACTCTTGATTATGATTCAGGTCATGATCCCAGGGTCATGGGATCCCTCAGTGTGGAGGCTTCTCGGGATCCTCTCTCTTTCTCCTTCTGCCCTCTCCTCTGCTTGCATTCTCTCTCTCTCTCTCTCTCAAATTAAAAAAAAAAATGTAAAAAAAAAATTATTGGTCACATTCAGAAAAACAGGCCAATAAACTAGGTTCAATGATTGTCCTGAAAAAAACATTCCAATTGTTACACCTCATTAGTATTTACACTGATAACTTTGAGGAAATAGTCGTGGATCTGAGTTTACTGAAGTCAATCATAAAAGGCTGTGGTCCGAACTTTTCATCTCTTATGTCCAAAACCCAGAGGGAGGCTATTTGCTGCTGTGATCATGTGTTTTGGGTGTAGATTCTGACACACGCAGGTTTAAGGGTGTTAAAATTCTCAAAGAACTGCTGTTCTTACTTGTCTGGTATGACAGCAACCTACTCACAACGTAGTCGTTCCTTGCCATTTACTCGACTCTGCTCCCTGTCCTTGAACTCCTTCTCAATTTCATCGCCGGCTAGAAACTTATAGCCTTGTTCGCAAGAATAGCCGGAGTCAAATAGTTTCAGCGTCAACACTTCACGGGTTCCTGACAGCTGTACAGTATGTGCTGAGCTGCATTTTATTCCTGCTAAGATTATTGACACCTTCACAGTTTTTCTGTGGTTTTTTTTTTTTTTTTATCTTCGCCAATGACACGCTCGTTATAATCGTGCCGTTTTCTGTTTTCATTTTTTGGAAGGGAGACTTGCAGGAGGAATTTACCAACAGTATGACTAGAGGCTGAAGTGAAACTTGGCAGCATTCATTCTTGTCTATCAAGGCCCCTGTTGGCCTTACCAAGGGTCTCGCAGCGTGTGTACTCACACCGTCCTCTAGTGGCTGACCCCATGGGAGACCAGCTGCCTCTCTGCCACTCTGGTGAGAACGGTCCTTTCCCTCAGGGCATGGGTTATGAGCAGAGATTATTATTTCTTAGGATAAAGAATATTTCTCCTAGCGTGCTCATGTTTTCTAACAGCCAAATTAAATTTTACACCATTGAATATACATTCTATGACTTAGAAACTCTCAGGGGAAAATATAAAAATCAATTAAAACATCTAAGCAAGTCCTTCATGTTTTATGGAGAAATCTTCAGGTGTATATATCCATTAACCAATAGATATTTATCAAGTCTAAAAAAATATGCCAGGTGCTTTTGTAGGGGCTTGATATACGTTAATGAACAAAAGAGACAAAGATCCCTGCCTGCAGGGACCATACATTCTAGGATGAGGACCACGGTTAGGAATGTGTTTCCCTTTGGATTGACATTCAAACCAGATTGCATGTAAACGTGACGTATTTCAATAGCTGTACTACTGGGACCTGTATTCTTCGCATTCAGTAATGTAATTGAGGTTTGCCTTGTCTTCTCTAACACGCCTTCAGGGCAGGGTGGAGGTAGCTGGCAACATGTCACCTGCACAGCTGTTACCAGAAGCATCGCTAGCCTCCCATGTGCTAACTAACGCTGTGCAGAGTGAGCGTTCTAGAAAGCTATTTACGCCTTCCTAAATTGTGTGCCAAAATGTCAGAAGTGCCTTTGAGCCCTCACTCCTCTCCCCTTCTCCCCATTCTCCTCTCTACTCCAGCACTTACTTAGCTCCAGTCCTCTGAGCAGTTTTTGCTCTCCGCAAGGCTCCAGTTCTGCAAAAACAGGACTGGTTATCGGAGGCCTCTAATTAGAGGAGAAAAATGGGTAAATAAAGCTTCAGTTACTCTTATCATATTACTTTGCTGGAAAGATATGAAATTTCAAGTTAGTTTAATTAATCACTTTTCCATTTTCTGTTGTTTCAAAAAGAATGTAATTCATCCATATTATTGATGTTACAATAAATTAAACTCTTGTATCTCCATGCTTATAATGGCGTGTTTTATTTCTAACTCATTCTAAGGAGAGACAATGAACAAACTCATTAATTATTTAAATCTATCGACTTCCTGAATTTTATGAATAGATTCTTTATTTGGAAGAGTGTCATTTAAAAAAAAATCAGATTTTTGATGGTAACTTTATGCCCTCAAAAAATGCAATTCATTTGAATACTGATGATTTGATTTTTACTTATTATAATAATAATATTCTTTTGGTGTTCATGTGCATTATGTTTCAGTAGGACAAAACACATACTATTTAAAATATTGTTTCTTTACTTTGAAAATGGAGAAATGAAAAACAAAGAGGCTTAGTGGCATCTGTGGATACATTCATAGTTAATAAGCATTCATAGGTAATAAGCAATGAAAAAAAAAAAGCAACTATCATCATTTTTCTTAATCCACTCTATAATTGCTGATTCTGGGAGGAACCAAATAAAGTAACATGTACGAGTGATGATGTCAACTTGTATCACATTTTTTTTTTTTTTAATCAGGTATATTTCAGTTGCTCCAGAGAATCGACTTCTTTTACATACTTGGGTATTTGCAGCAGGTTGGGTCGGAACAGCGTTGGAAATAGATGTGAACCATTTTAATTTTAATTAGAGTTTCTCCATTAACGAGGTGGCATTTTCCTGAAAGCAATCTTTCCTCATCTGCAAAATGAAGGTGTTTGGTTGAGGTGAGTTGGCAATTTCCTTCCATGACATGAAAAATAGGAAATACTTTCACACTATAATTTTATGATATATTCAAATGATGACAGAAGATCACATGACATGTGAAAAAATTATGTAAATTTTGCCAGATGCCGTGAAATAGGCTACTTCCAAGTGGCCCCAAACCCAGGGAAAACTGGCGATGATTGTTGTCATTAAAACGATCACTTACTGGGGTGCCTGAGTGGCTCAGTTTGTTAAGGATCTGACTTAGGCTCAGGCCGTGATCTCAGGACTTGTCAGTTCGAAACCCACAACCGGCTCTGTGCTGACAGCTTGGAGCCTGGAGCCTGCTTTGGATTCTGTCTCCCTCTCTCGCTGCCCCTTCCCCAGTTGTGCGTGCGCTCTCTCTCTCTCTCTCTCTCTCTCAAAGATAAAAAAAATTAAAAAAATAATAATCACTTAGATGCTGTAGCACTAATGGATTTTCATACACCTAGGATTCTGACAATACTTCTGCAAGTTGGATAGAACATATGTTATTAGTCCAATTTTATAGAGGAAAAAATTGAGCTCATGGGCTCCAGTGATGTAACTTTCTCAAGGTCTCATAACAATTCAGTGGCAATAGCTTGCTTGTATCTGGAAAAGTGAGTAAGGAAAGAAAAAAATACAAGGTAAAAATCAAGCTGTGTTGTTAATTTCTCGTTATTCTCTGAGATGGGTAAAGTGGGAGGGGGGCTGGATTAGAGTAGTTGATGCTCCCGAAACAAGTAGGCAACAACAAAGATGTTCAATTTGTGTCAAAATTTTATTCCGCTTAAATTTGGTCCCCAAAATTATGTGATTTCATGGTCAGCTAATTTTCCTTTTTCTATGTGTGGTCAATATTGTTCACAGAAAATATCAAACCTGTTCTGATCCAGATTTAGGATTTTGTGCAGACTGAAACTCTTCTATGCAAATAGCCCAGGAATTCTGGTTTTATGTCAATTATCTTACATAATACCTGTTGAATTTACATTTTTCTTTCCTATTATTAAAGTGCTTCTAATATCTGAGATGTGATCTTTCAAAATCTACATTAAAATTTTTTTGTTGATGTAATTTCATACTTACAGAAAAGTTACAAGTGGCCCTCTGTTCACATTCTTTGTTGACATTTCACTCCACCTGATTTGTTATCTATTCTCTTTTTCTGTTTATGGTTGCATATATAATTTTTTCTGAACCACTGGAGAATAATTTTGCAGACAGCATGCCCCTTTATCCATAAAGTTCTATTTTGGATTCCCTAAGACTTTTCCTTATATAACCACAGTACAATGGCAAAATCAGGAAATTTAATGTAGATACAAAACTATTATTTAACTCACAATCCATATTAAAATTTTGCCAGTTGTTTCAATAATGTCCCCTATAGTTTTATTTTTTTCTGGTTCACACTCCATCCCAGGATCATACGACACATTTAGTTTTCACGTCTGTTTAGTTTCCTTTAGTATGGAGCAGTTCCTCAACCTTTCTTTGTGTTTCTTAATTTTGACATTTTAGAAGCATGTAGGCCAGTTGTTTCACAGAATGTACCTCAATTGGGGTTTATCTGATGTTTCCTCATGAGTAGATTATGCATTTTTGACAGGAACACAAAATAAATGACATCGTATCCTTCCCTAAGATATTAAGAGGCACATGGCACTGGTTTGTCCCATTATCGTTATTTACTTTTATGATGTGGTTAAAATAGTATTCACTAGATTAATCCACTAGAAGTTACTGTTTTCTCTTTGTGATCGAGAAACAATTTTTGAGGGAGTACTTGAGATTATGTACATAGTTTCTTCTTCATCTAACTTTTACCCCCTAGTTTTAGCATGCATTGATGATATCACTGGATTAGCAATGATCCTATGAAGGGCTGCAAAATGGCCATTTTGTAGTTCCATCATTCCTTCAGTATTTATTAGCTGATATTCTTCCATAAGGAAAAGTTCTCCACAATTCATGACGGATACACTTGATAAGTTGGAATTCATTAAAATTAAAACCTTCTGCTCTGTGAAGGACAATGGTAAGAGAAGGAGAAGACAAGACACAGACTGAGAGAAGATATTTGCGGAAGACACATCTGATAAATGGCTATTATCCAAAATATGTAAAGAACTCTTAAAATTCAACAACAAGAAAACAAATAACCAGATTTAAAAATGTGCCACAGGCTTTCACAGATACCTCACATATGGCAAATAAGCATATAAAAAGATGCTTTGCATATGGCAAATAAGCATATAAAAAGATGCTTTGCATCATATGTCATTAGGGAATCACTAATTAAGATGAAATATTATTACATACCGATTAAAACAGTCAAATATAAAAACTCTGACAACATCTAATGCTGGTGAGAATGTGCAGCAAATAGGAACCCTCATTCACTACTGGAGGGAATCCAAAATTGTACACCTACTTTGGAAGACATTTGGCATTTTCTTGCAAAACTAAACATAGTCTAACATACAATCCAGAGGTCACACTCCTTGATATTTACCCAAAGGAGTTGAAAAGTCATGTCCACACAAAAGTATGCACACAGATGCTTATAGACGCTTTACTCATAGTTGACAAAACTTGGAAGCAACCAGGAAAACCTTTAGTGGGTGAATGGATAAATAAACTGTGGTATATCCAGACAATGAAATAGCATTCAGTACTAAGGGATAATAAGCTATAAAAGCCGGAAAAAGACATAGAGGAATCAATCTTAAGTGTATATTACTAAGTGAAAGAAGGCAATCTGAAAAGGCTACATACTGTTTGATACAAAGTACATGACACTCTGGTAAGGGCAAAACTATGAAGACAGTAAAAAGAGCAGTGGTGCCAGGAGTTGGAAGGGGAGGAAGGATGAGTGAGTGAACACAGAAGGTTTTTCGGGCAATAGAACTACTCTGTATGATAGTGTAGTGATGGATACATATCGTTATACACTTGCCTAGGCCCATGAACACAATATACAACACACCAAAAGTGAACCCTAATGCAAACTATGACCTTTAGGTGATAATGACCTGTCAGTATAGGTCCATCAATTGTAATAAATATACCACTCTGGTGGAAGATGTGAAATCTCTAATCTCTACTCTTATTTGCTGTGAACCTAAAACTGCTCTAAAAAAATAGTCTTGGGGCGCCTGGGTGGCGCAGTCGGTTAAGCGTCCGACTTCAGCCAGGTCACGATCTCGCGGTCCGTGAGTTCGAGCCCCGCGTCAGGCTCTGGGCTGATGGCTCGAGCCTGGAGCCTGTTTCCGATTCTGTGTCTCCCTCTCTCTCTGCCCCTCCCCCATTCATGCTCTGTCTCTCTCTGTCCCAAAAATAAATAAAAAAAAGTTGAAAAAAAAATTAAAAAAAAAAATAGTCTTAAGAAAGAAAGAGAGCTGCCCCAGTCCTGGGACCAGACATTTTCCCTGGGTCATTTTAATGGAAGATTAAATCAAGAAACTAAGATCTAGACGTGTGCTCATGTGAGACATGTGCTCATTTGCCTCCGGTGTATCTTTGCATCTAGGCCTCTTTAGTTGTCAGAATGGAGGTACACATTGACACACACACACACACGCACACGCACACACACACACGCCCCACATGCTGATACTGATCACTGCAATTCCAATTCATTACTACAGGATTCATTCTAGTCTTGTCTGTTTTCATATTTGTATCTCCATTCTCTGTGAAACACTGAAGTCTCATCGTCAACATATTTACTCATTTGTTCGATCTTACAAAACAGTAATCTAACCTCTACAACTAAGAAAAACAGTCTTAGTAACTGAAATTTAATATTTGTTCATGTATTTTTCTTTTGGTCTTTAGACCTTGGTTATTTGGTCAAAGAATTCCATTTGAAAATTACTAAGTGTTTTTTAACTGATCATTACTCCTTTTTGTGTCACTTGAATTCACTTAGGTCATTTGTTGCTGGTTTCGTTCCCTGCCCCCACCTCTTGATTCTTTTTAATTTTATTTCACCTAAAAAAAAATTGAAAACATATTTCTGCAAAAGTCAAAGCTCTATGAAAAGTTGCTCTCAAAGAAGTGTCACTCCCTCATGTCTTCTAATCCATTCACATCCATCCCAGATAATGAATGAACAATGTAACCAATATCATTAGTTTCTGGTTTGTCTATCCCATGTTTAACTTTGAAAAAAAAAAAAAGAAAGGCATATACATGTTTTTACACTATATTTAAAGTGTGCAAAAGCTTTGCTCTTTTCATTAATAATATCATCTTTCTCATTCTTTTCCCGGCTGTACAATGCTCCATTGTATGAATGTACCGTAATTTATTCATTTAGTGTCCTGTGTATGGAAATTTATGCTGTTGCCAATATTTTGTAATTACAAATAATAAATAATGTTGGGCAAACATACTTTTATTTTATTGAGGGTGTAAGTCAAGACTTTTAAATCCGTTTTTTTTTCTTTCTCTCAAGTTAAACACATGTAGAAGTATCAAAAGCCATTGACTTCTTTTTCGTGTGTTAAAAACAAAGATTCATGACAATATGCTTGCTGAAAAGCTATATAGGAGTTATATGGCCTGGAAAACTGTAACTACATTTTGTGGAAGTAGAAATTGTACCACATATTTGTATAACAGCAAGGCAAGTGTGGTCTCTAGGAAGTATAGGTGAAGTTGATTAGATTGCAGTGTATACTTAAAAGTTGAATAATGCACTCTTGTAAAACACTCTTCAAAATTATTTAACTTCCCATGATATCATCACAGCATGTGCAAAAAAAAAAAAAACTTCAGTGTTATCTTTTCCTGTCACATGACTAGTACAAACAAAAGAAATCCTTATCTTTTTGTTTCTATTCTGGCCCTTTATAAAATGGCATTAAGCACCATTCAAAACTTACACATTAAAGGTTTGGTTTTGGGGAAAAAAGATTTATTATGTATTTCAAACAAATCACATTTGCTATATTATGAAGCAAACATTTTCCCAAGAACTGAAAAGTCTAGCATCTTAGATGCACAGAAAACTATAGTTTTAAAACCACATTCCCATAGCAAGCCTAGGCATAGTGAATGAGGCAGGAATTATATTGTACTTCCTTTACAAAGCTGAAACAGGGGCATTTAGAGAGTTTAAAGAAGTTACCCTGAGATGTAGGACTCTGGACTAAATCTGGAGCTAGAATCCAGGACATTTTTGTTTTTCTTTATAAAGTGGGATGTGTTGATCTCATAGGGTTATTGTGGTGATCAGTTAAGGTAATGCACTTGAAAATGCTCAAGTTGTACAAAGAGAAGGTAACTCTATTATTAGAGTATTGGGGCTTTTGGTGACCATGTGTAAAATTTCCTGATATTAATATCTAGAAGTAATACAAGAGACTTAACCAGTCTAAGGGCTATAGATCATACAGCAGGGCTTAAAGTGTTCATGTGGGGAAATAGTTCAGAGACTGAACAGGTACCTCAAGGAGCAGGTGACGATGCTAGATATCCATTGCAGAATAATTAACAGTATTGGATGTTGTACAGAACTTAGACCTTGAAACAAACCTCATTAAAAGGCACCTGATCTTAGTTTTAAAACCTTTAAGTATCTCCTCTTTAAAAGTAATCAATGTATGCGCTGGCTACTTTAGTTATCCCGCTATGAGATTCACACAACTTTGATCTAACTTTCTTTGATTTAACACTGCAATTAAGAAGATTTGGTTCAAAGTAAAAGCTCATTGGTTGATGTTTTACACTGATGTGATAATGTTTACACAGATGTGCTTTGAAATCTTGCTTATGGTGGATTTGGGGGTCCTACTACAAGACAGACCGCTGTTATTTGAAAAGTGAAATAATACGACATTTACCTGGTACAACCTTTAAAACAGACTTAGAATATACATTTCTAGAGTGATTTTTCTGTTTATTGTTTTTAGCTAGTGTTTTTGTTTTATTTCATATCTATCAACAGTAAATCACTTGCTTTAAGGATTCTTTTATAACTTGGTTGCACAAGGGTAAGTACTTAGGGCTGCAGTGATGAAAAGGTGTAACTTTACCTACTCTAAAGCACCTGCCAGCTAATTAGCAAAAAACCCTGCCGAGCAAATAAAATAAAGCAGTCACATCCATTTGTGCTCCAGGTTCAGGCTTTTGCTGAACAGACCGTGAAATAAGACTGAAAAATGAATCTTTAGTGATTCCCTAACACTTTTTGCTTAGGGGGAACATAAATCTGCCAAATGATTCTCAACTCTTTTGCCACTGAAAAATTTTAATGGGAAGATCTTGAATTTCACTAGTGGTACAAAACCAAAGTTTTAAGGTTTACATGGATAAGTATTCATCTCCTTCACTTCAGTGACTTTTTAGTTTACAAACACACACAGGCACTCTTACATTTTTACCAGTAACTTCTCCTGTCTCAAAAACACATCGAGAATCAACACTATCGACTCATTTTTATAATTAAAATATGAACAACAACAACAAAATCTAACCTTAAAGAAAATGCAACTAAAAAGAACAGGGAAATGCTCTTAGATTGGATAAGGGCCCCAGAGGCCACTCATCATTTATGGCACTACTCATTTTCTATTTGTGGCAAATATAAGAATGTAAACCATCTTTTTTCAACGTATTTGGGTTTACCCTTAATCCCTACATTCCTGTTTATACTATGTTATTGTATTGTGTTGATGAAAAGCCCATGACCTTAGCACACAATTTAAAACTTGCATGTAGATATAAGGCAATCTTGGTTAGATCATGTGCTATCTGAGAAAAGATAAACATTAAAGCGAACCTGGGAAGGGGGGGGGGGGTGTATGTGTTCCTAACCTAACCTTGATTATGTAAAGAAAATCCCCCATCTAAATGATAAAAGAAAAAAGTAATGCTTGTACATTTTATTAGTGTTTTAAAATTAGTGAGTTAAACTGTCAAAGCTTTGATTTTCCTTTCATGTGTGTCTGGGCAGGCCTAAGCCTCAGGTAACGCCCTTTTTCCTTCTCCGTCTCTTACTTTTCTTTGCACCTGTCCACTGCAGGCTCC